CTTCTGTTCTATCCCTAAAAAGTAAATTAAACATAATATTTTTTTTATTGGTAAAAATAAATTTATTAATGTAAATCAAAGTTCAAGAAGTACAAATTGATTACATTAAACAAGAGAGCAAAGCAAAACTAACATCATTCTTGAAGAACATATCCAACTAGGTTGACACATAATGTTAAGTAACTCTACTCTTCCAAATCTTTCACTTCCTCTCCTAAATTATCAATCCATAACTGTGCCCTTATGAGTATATTATATGTAGCCTCTTTGTTCAGTAGTCTATAAATTTAGTAGAAAATTGTAGTTGTATGGATAAGAGCAGTCTAACTTGTAAACCATGTTTATTAAAAAACTATTCAATACTTCTGGAGCTATACTAACTCCGCCGGTCCCAAGCCCGGATAAAGAAGGAGGGTTGTGTGTTAGGTAGCCGACAACCAACACATAAAAAAAGCTGCTCGAATCCCTTATTACAATGAATCCTACTTTGAATCGATTGAATGTTAGGTTGTTCTTCTCAAGTGACACGTTGCGCTTGCCTCCGGGTGTTTCGAAAAGTGAGTAAGGGGCGCCGCATTGACGCCTGGGTGCGGTGAAAAATGGGCAAAGGTTCCTGTGTTTTTCTGGACGAGCACGGGTAAAGAAGCTAGTCCAAGACTATAGGTTTAGGGTAGCCACTTGGAATATAGGAACTTTAACTAGTAAGACAATGGAATTGGTAAATATTATGATTATGAGGAGAGTTAGTACAACATGCGGACAAGAAACTAAGTGGACAGATGAGAAAGCTAGGGAAATTGAGAATACTGGTTTTAAACTATATTATAGTGGTAAGGATAGACGTAGGAATGAGGTAGGAATCATAGTTGCCAAGGGTCTTGTGGAAAATGTAGTGGTGGTCATTAGGAAAGGGGATAGGATTATGTTAGTTAAACTAGTTATTGGAGGAAATATAGAGAACGTTATTAGTGCATATGCCCCTGAAGTAGGATTAGATGATCAGACTAAGAGGAATTTTTGGGAGCAAATAGATGAGATCTTATAGGAGATACCCGTAGGAGAAAACCTAGTTATACGTGGAGATTTCAATGGTCATGTAGGCATAGATAAACTAGGCTATGAAATGGTGCATGGTGGATACGGTTTTAGTGATAGAAATGAGGCTGGAGAGAGTATCTTAGATTTTGCATTGGCTTCTGACGTAGTGGTGGCCAATACTATGTATAAGAAGAGGGAGGAGCATTTGATAACCTTTAAGAGTAGGTCAGTTAAAAGCCAAATAGATTACTTTTTAGTGAGAAAAGTGGACTGCCTAAAATGTAGTGATTGTAAGGTGATTCTAGAAAGAGCCTGGCCTCTCAACATAGGATTTTGGTACTAGATTTATGTTTTAAAGGGCAATACCAAGCTAGAAAGGATGGTGGGCATCATAGGACGAAATGGTGAGACCTAAAAGCGAATAAACTAGAAATATTTAAGAATAGAATGGATAAGGAAGGTACTTGGGACTTGGAAGATAATGCTAACACTATGTGGAACTAGATGGCCAATTGTATGAGGAGAATCTCAAGGGAAGTGCTTGGAGAGTTGAAAGGAACGGGACCCAACTCTAGGAAATTTTGTAGTAAAGGGAAGAGGTTCAAGTGGTAGTTAAGGTAAAAAAAAGAGTACTTTAAAATATGGCAGAATGATAGAACTGAGGAAAACCTTAAGAGCTATAAATTGGCTAATAAGGAGGTCAAGAAAATAGTAAAAGAGGTTAAGTTGAAAGCTTATGATGACCTATACACTAGACTAGATAGTAAGGAGGAAGAGAAAATGGTATACAAACTTGCTAAGACACAAGAGAGGAAAACAAGAGATTTTAATCAAGTTAAGGGCATCAAGAGTGAGAATTCTAAGGTATTGGTGAAGGATGAAGAGATTAAGGAGAGATGGAAGAACTATTTTGAGAAACTATTAAATAAAGAACATAGAGGCACATTAATAGGGGAAGAAATAGCCAGTAATACGAAAAACCAAGACTATAGGTTCTATCGTAGGGTTAGGAACTTTGAGGTGGAGATTGCACTTAAGAAAATGAAATCAAATACGGCTTTAGGACCCGATGATATCCCTATTGAAGCTTGGAAGTGTTTGGGTAAAAAGGGGGTTGCTTGGTTGGCTAGATTGTTTAGCAAAATTTTGTTGACTAGGAACATGCCAGATGAGTAGAGGAAGAGTATTTTAGTGCCATTCTATAAAAATAAGTGAGATGTCCAGAATTGCAACAATTATAGAGGAATTAAGCTAATGTGTCATATAATGAAAGTATGGGAAAGGATGATGGAACGCCGATTGTGAGATATAACAGAGGTGTCAAAGAATCAATTTGGGTTTATGCCTGGCAGGTCAACAATGGAAGCGACCTATCTTTTGATGAGAGTAATAGAAAAGTATAGAGAAAAGAAAAGAGACATTCATATGGTGTTTACCAACCTTGAGAAATCATATGACAAAGTGCCTTAGGATATAATATGGTGGGTGTTAGAGAAGAAAGGGGTGACAAAATATTACATTGATGTGATTAGGTACATGTATGAAGGGGTAGTGACCACTATTAGCTCACCTGCTGGAGAGACAAATGAATTTCTTATCACTGTAGGGTTACACCAAAGATCTACCTTAAGTCTTTATCTTTTTGCTCTAGTTATGGATGAGTAGACGAGAAATATTCAGGATGACGTGCCAAGGTATATGCTTTTTGCAGATGATATCGTGTTAGTGGATAAGACTGGAGAAGGAGTTAACACAAAGTTAGAGATTTGGAGAAAAACACTTGAATCTAAAGAATTCCGGATAAGTAAAACTAAACAAAGTACATGGAATGTAAATTTAGTAACAGTAACAATGGAAGCAGAGGAGAAGTGAAGATTGAGAACTAAGAACTGCCTAAAAGTAAACATTTTCGTTATTTAGGGTCATTTATCACAATGGCGGAGGAGATTGATGCGGATGTGACACATAGGATTAAGACGGGATGGCTTAAGTGGAGAAGTGTGTCTGGGGTATTGTGCGATAAACAAATACCCACTAGACTAAAAGTTAAGTTCCATAGAACGGCTATTAGACCAGCGATGTTGTATGAGACAAAGTGTTGGGCGACCAAAAAACAACATGTAGATAAAATGAGTGTTATTGAGATGAGGATGCTATGATGGATGTGTGGCAAGACTAAACAAGACAGAATTAGGAATTAGTGTATTTGGGAATGGGTAGGAGTAACACTGATAGAAGATAAGTTAAGAGAGAATCGATTAAGATGATTTGGTCATATTCAACGGAGACCAACAGAGGCAGTAGTGAAGAGATGCGATGCAATGACGGTAGACGGAAGTGTTAGGGTACCAGGTAAGCCTAGATTAACGTTGGCTAGCGTTGTAAATAAAGATATGGATCTACTTAATTTGACTAACGAAATGGCCTTTGATAGAGCTGCGTAGAGAAGAATGATTCATGTAGCCGACCCCATTTGATAGGACTTAAGGCTTAGTTTGCTTTGGTTTACTTCTGGAGCTATACTCTATTCCATTTACAAGTTGATATCTAATCAGTTATCTCCTAAACTCTAGCATAAAAGTAGTAGATCCCATAGTTTAAAAACCAATAACTACCACTTTGGAGCACCACCTATATTTGCACTAAAAGTATTGAATAATTTCTCCATGTTTGTTTAGACTAATTGAAATAGATGTTGTTTTAGAAAATTAACTATTTTAGTTGACCTTTTGACTTTTTACAAAAAAATATGTAAAAAAGTACAAAGTAAAATTAATTTTTAGTAGTAACTTTTTGACTATTTGTAACGCCCTCAAAATAATAACATTAAACCCATCAGATGAGACATGCATTTACATATAAACTAACCACATTTCTTTATTCTTATGTAAAAAAGTACAAAGTAAAATTAATTTTTAGTAGTTACTTTTTGACTATTTTAGTATACTGCAAAACTTGCCCAACATTTTGAGGGCAGTTAATTTGGAGATTATCAATTCCTTTAAATTGTGTATTTCATCCTATGTTTGGATTTACCCAAGATTACAAGGATTAACAAAATTCTACCAATTTTGTATTTTAGTAAATTAATCCAAACTTCTCCTCAATCTCCTATCTCACCCTTCCTATATGGAAGATAACACATGTCCATGTGGATTAGAAGTCCAAACTCTAATTATGTTTGATTGAATTATGTAATTTATTAAATTAATATCCAATCCCAAAGTCGTCCCAAACAAACAATGCCTAAATGGCAGGGTGCTTATGCAACTAGCACTACTAAAAACCAGAGCTTTTGCGACAGTCTTAAATGTCGCAAAAGGTTTATATATCGTCGCAAAAGACTTTTTGCGACGGAATAGCGATGGGAAATGGGGGTGGCGAAGGAGGCGTGACAAAAAGTATTTGCGACGGTTACAAACCGTCGCTTTCTTGTAACGACAGCTAATCAATGATTTTTGCGACGGTTTAACCTGACACAAAAAAAGGAAAAAAAACTTCACTTTTAGTGACGATGTTGGTTGCCGTCACCAAAACTTTTTTGGCGATAGTTTTGACGTCACGAAAAGTATTATTAGCGACAGTCTAAAACGTTGCAAAAAGAGTAGAATTAAATTAATATCGTATTTGCGACAGTTTAAACCATCGTGAAAAATATTATTAGCGACGGTCTAAAATGTTACAAAAAAGTAAAATTAAATTAATACCATATTTGCGACAGTTTAAACTGTCGCTAAAGATTTGAACTACGATATATATGCTACAAATTAACTCGTTGCTAATAAAATATAAGGAAATGATAATTACATTAGTGACGGTTTATTATTGTCGCAATAAAATTATTTTCATAAAATCAATATATATTTTATTAGTTCATTCCCTGTACAAATTATTAATATTTTCTAAAATAAAATACATCCACACCCAAACACATCCACATTCACATTCACATTCACATCTACAAAATCATATGTCTATATGTACCCCTTAACAATTGTCAACTAAATATTCTTTACAAAGGATACGTAAAAGTCAATGGGCAGGAAATTTGCCCAAAGAGAATTGTCAATTATAGCAATTTTTGCAAGATCAACACCTAAAACTGTTAAGTCCTCGGTGTAACTTCCATCTAAAAAAATGCATGATTCACGATAAGCTCGACGAGAGATAAGTTTTCTATCTGGATCCATTATATCCAGAAGCTGTTCTGCATAGATGCTTTGACTGGCTGTGAACACCACAATTTCAAACATCTCAGCAACCCTCTCTAGGAACATCTGAAGGTAATGCCTCTGTTTTACATAGACTCTGTGCTCTTTCATGTTGAAAAAGACTGGAAAACTAAAATCCGCATCTTCACAATGTTCTAACGTAGAGTGGACAAGTGTTTTAGCACAAGTGAAAGCTAGTGTGACCAACCTTTGGAAGCATCAACTTATGTAAAAATTCTTTAAAATGATTCGTAGAAATACAAGTACACCCGAAGTTGAAAGTTCAGTATAGGTGTGAATCATAAATATTATACTAACATAACCAAGAAATAAACTAGATAAGATAAAATGAAATAATATCAAGATTAATAGTAACAAATCAAAGGAGTTCAATTTTCTTACCATCCAAATCCAGTACTAGGGTAGTGGACTGCATTTTTTGTGTTTCATTTAGCAATGTAGTGGGGTGAAAATTTGGCACCACATCTGGTAGGTCAGGTAGATTTCTGATAAACATGTGTGGATCAAAGCACTATAATTGATCTGAACCTAAGTAGGGATTCACATCAGGTTCCTCATTGCAGGATCTCAACTGATGGATTGCAAGATACAAGCTTAAATCATCTGAATCTATAATGGTGTCCTTACATGTTCTGCCATCATGATCGCCACCTGCCTCCATGGTATCCTCAAGAAAAGGTTGTATCATGTATTCCTTTGCCACATCAAAAAATGTACTTGGCACATCAAATTTGTAATCAATCAAGCAACTAGCTTCTGTGATGTCATCATAAATTGAGTTGCCTTCAATGGGTAAGCCTGCAACAATCATGTCAGAAATGTAGAAATTTGAGACAATGCAAGTTTGATATTCACTAGAGCTTTTGCTGTTATCATCACTGTCATCAGCTCCCAAAATCGATGGATCAAGATCTTCGTTACTCCCTGCATAGAGATAAGAGGAAGGTAAGGCTTATTTAGACAATGTCAATCCATTTTTGGCATGACCAATTCAAAACTGAACGTGAATCTTCTGCTTTGCGCTGTCATATGCAGAAGATGGTTTATGTTTCCAAACCCAAGACATGTGATTGAAATATTTTATAAAAACATAATCCAATAAGAAAAATCTATGTTGTTTGACATTCTTTACAAACATGTGCAAAGATTTATACTCTCATCTCCAACAAAGAACTCTTCATGGATCAAGCAAAATTTCATCATTATTCATTCAAGTGACACATTAATGTGTCGTTTGGTAACACTTACGTTTTCAGTTTTCAGTTTATATTTTCAAAAATTTTAAAAACTCAAACAAAAACTTGTTTGGTAAATTTTTGATTTATAAATCAGTGGTCTCAGTTTATAAATTTGGCCAAAAAATGTAAACACAAAAAATGTGTTTTCGTTTTGAGTTTTGAGTTTTTTTTTTTTTACCAACACTAGTCACCACCCGCCACCATTTTCTACTACCGTCTTCCGCCACCACCACCCCCCCTCCACCACCACCTGCCACCACCACTCACCACCCACCTACTACCACCACCCACCACCCACCTGCCACCCACTCGCCACCACCA